TATGTCAACCTATGGATTTATGCAAATGAAAATGTTATTTTTAAAAGAAAGATTTTGGTCAATCACTCCGTTGGTCTGAGTGACGTCATAGTCCATTGATCTTCGAGTCGTACTGGATTAGGACGTTACATGATTTTTTTAAATAATATTTTTATTATTAAAAATAAAAAAATATGGTATGTATCTAAAAGTGTAACGGAGAAAATGTTAGACACCTATTTTTAACGAAAAATTCTTTAGGCATCAAAAGTCAATTTGATCCATAGTTTCAAACACCTAAAAGTGTATCTTTTTTAAATGATTTTTTTGAAAATTTATATATATGACACGTGTCATATTTATCGGCTGTTATGGTCCAAACACCTAAAAGCGTAACGTTAAAAACGTTAGACACCTTTTTTAGAAAAAAAATCTTTAGACACCAAAAATCAATTTCAGGTATAATTTAGGCACCTAAACATGTATTAAACCAAAATAAAATTCTTAATATATTTATTCATTTGAATGAGATTAATTGATCCCCGGTTTAGTTCTTTGGATATGTTTGGATAATATTTTGACTTTTTTCTATATGTTTGAAAATATCTCTTATAATTTTTTTTTTCTTTCAATAGTCAAACGGCAACGGCAACGGCTTCCAAAATCTATGCGAATCCTGGGAATTTGGGTCAATTCAAAATAAACTTTGTAAAATTAAGTTTTTCTTTTCCCACTCACTTGCGGACCTGCGGTGGGGCTTTAAGGGCCCGTTTAGGATTATTTTTTACACCCTAAAATCACTTATTTAAGTAAAATCAATCTCAAATAAATACATTTTTTAGTAAAATTAAAGTTTGAAACGAGATTTTAAACTCAAACCCAAAAGCTGTGATTTTGAAGTTTTTGAGGTTGAAAAGTTCTTTTGGGTTGGAAATACCAAATCTAACCTTTATTTGAGCTTAATTTTATTATAGTTTAAGTTTATATATTTCAAATATCATAGTATTAAATATAATTTAAATATTATATTTTTAATCTACAACATAATGTCTAAAGTGGGCATTTTATCTTTTCAAAATCATTTTTAATTGTATTAATACACGTATTTTATAGTTCACGTGATTTAAGTTAAGTAAATAAGCATTAATGTAAATTTTATGTTGATTTATTAAAAATATAAATTTAAATAAAGATATATTCAAAACGTTTAGATTTGTAAATAAAATGTAATATTATTGAAAGATAGAGAAAATCAAATGTTGGTTTGACTTTCGAGGATGGTGGTTGGTTTCTTCTAAAATTTAGGTTCTAGGAATTTAACTTAAGAAAAACTCTAGATAACAAGTAGTAAATCGAAACAAATTATTAAAGTGACATGTTAATACACACGCTACTAATTAAAATATTTTTATTAAATAAATATAAAAATATAATAACCCATCTATAATTAATCCTTTTCTATTGTTTCTTTAAATTAAAAAAGAATATAATTAAATTATATTCTTTTATTAAAAGTTATAATTATTTTAGAAAACTTTATTTATTTAGGATTGAGACACTTAATTTATAAAAGCTTGCTAAAAGTTTGCAAAATCATCCCATCAAAACCACCTGTCGAGGATCCTATCAATGGCCCAAAAATTGTGTTCTACAAAGTAAACTACAGTCAGAGAATTATATCAAGAGATCGTACAAAATTTGTGTGTGACTTAAATTTATTGGCTTAATCAAAGGATTGGATAGCCCTTATCAGACATCCTGCTTCTGTCGGCTTCTATGGATTGATCAACAACTTCAAGAACAAGGGTTTGAATTAAAGAGATCTTGTAGCTCTCTCTGGTGGCCACACTTTTGGATTGTCACTGTGTTCCATCTTCAGGAATAGAGTATACAATGCAATCAACATCGCCCCTCCCTTTGCTAAGCAAGATAGAGCCACTTGCCCATGCACCGGAGGTAACACAAATCTAATTCCTTTTGATTCAACATATGCTATGTTCGACGCTGCATATTTCAAGAACCTAGTGAAGCAAATGAGTTTACTCACCTCGGATTAAGCACTTTTTGATGATGGATCAACTGATAGGTTTGTAAAGACTTGTAGCTCAAATCCTGATGCTTTCTGAGATGGTTTTGCAAAGCATATAATTAAGATGGGGAACATTAAACATTTAATCGCAAATCAAGGATAAACTCATGTAACTGCAGGGAGGCAAATCGATCGAAGCAACGATAATTAATTGTTCTTCTTGTTGTATTAATTACATTTAAGAAACAGTCTCGTTTATGTTTTATGGAAATTGAGGCACATATAAGAAATATTAAATTATGTGCCTTATGCATTATTTATTTCGTTCAATTCATTGTAATCATTTCAAGTATCTTAAGCGAATAGACTCAGGGTTCACTACTTTGATGAATCGAAAGTTATTTTACTATCCAATCCTCTTGATATAGCTTTCCGTTGGCAATGTATTTTGTAGAGGAAACGATTGAGACCACACTGGATAAATCCAAGAAAATGGAAACTGAAACAAAAAAAATAACCAAGCATCACCAACAACCAATGATTATTTGACATGTAGGGATAGACATGAGATTCGAACTGGCGGGTTTCCATCCAATCTGATCCGCTCAGGTCGGAATCTTTTTGAAAATATTTAAGTTCGAGTCGGGTCGGGTCACATTTTTTAGAAAATATGTTTAGGTCGGATCGGATTAGGATTTAGGGGAGGAAATATCTGACACGAAAAATTGTCTTATATATTTATGGATAATTACAATAATAACCTTCTATGTATTATTTTTTCAATTAGATCCCTAATTTTATTAAATAAAAATAATTATATATATATATATATTTCGGATCGTATCGAACTGGATTCGGGTGTTATCTCAAAATCTCGGGTCAAGTTTGAGTCAAGTTCAAGTCGGGTGGAGTCACCCCTAAACTTGAGTCTACTTGTGTTTCAGGTGGAGGATTTTTATTTTCAGATCTAGTTGATCAAAATCCTAACCTGACCCGGCCCACGTTTATCCCTGTTGACATGTAACATTAATTTTTATTAATATTAATATTCTAAAAATTAAAAAAAAGCCATAGTTGTCACAAAGATGTATATAAGTTAATAATATTTGTGTATACCTAATATTACACTATGTTGCACGGGAACGGCAGAGGAAGGACGTTTCAAGTACCCGAAACGTCCCTGGTACGGGGACGGTATGGGGATGGTCGGGGTACGTACCGGGGACGTGCCACGGTGGCAGGGTACGGCCGAACGATACGGGGGACGTTTTGGTGCTCGCTGGGGACGTTTCGGGGACGGCATGTGACTAGCACTCGCTTTTTTCTTGAAGTGTCGCCATCTTCGTCATCACCGATGCCTCCATTCTCTTCTCTTTCACTCCTTTTTCTGCTCACACTCGAGATCGTGCTGTTCGGAGATGAAACCCCGGCTTCTTCTTCATCGTCGACTGTTGACGGTAACCGGTTCACGTCGCTTCCTCTAAGAAACGTTCTAGCCTCGGTGGTCGGGAAATATCCAGAGTTAGGATCTGCATGCAAGCACACCATACTTTTTTCAGATAAAAAGTAGCAGATATAGAGGCTTTTGCATGGGAAAACTGTCAGGCTAAAGCATACCTGGAGGAGGAGAGACGGCATCGTTCCATGAGAGTTTTTGAAGGGGTACACCAGAAGGAGAAGAACAAGTATTAGCAGAAGAAGGGGTTAGATTTAGGTGATGACTATAAGGGAAACTCAAACTCAGACTCAAATCCAGATCTTCTTTCCCCATCATCCTTAATATTTTCTCTCGAGCCAAACACGACTTTTAATTTTTGTGGTGTGAACAAAGACGAGAGAGAGAGAGTGTGTTTGGGGTTGGGGAGTTTATGGGAGTGGTGGATTGAGGATTATATAATAATAAATGATAATAATAAAAGTAATGATAATTAATGAAAAAAATGGAAGTTCAATGGTGAGTTGTTCTGATGGGAGAGGCCAATTATCTCAATCATGGCCGTGACTTCTTCTTTATTTTTTTTCCGAATGAGGATGTAGTTGTAACAAGTTGAACATGAAATGTGGTTTGAATTTTGAGATTTGACATTTTAATATTGTGATTTGTTTATGGATTTTATTGTTCTAAATTTAATATTGTGGTTTAAGTCTTGATATTTGACTTTATTTATAATTTTTTACATCTATTTATAATTTTAAAATTATTTTATATGCCGTACCCTTGCCGTCTCTGTACCCTGTAATTTTATAAATTGCCGTTTTCCGTCCCTGTCCCCGTATCCGTCCCCGTATCCGTATCGGTGCAACATAGATATTACAGAGGAAGAAGAAGATGATAGATCAATAAGTCTTAGCTTCATTTGTCACATAAAAAACCAGTGTGTTTCCTTTTTGGTAGAAGATGAGCGCAACAGTTACCCGCACAGAAAATAGGAGTAATACTCAATCCAAGGCACGACCTGATCATTAAAATAGATTAAAGAAAGAGGCTGTTAGAGTTTGAATTATGAACAACATCGAATCTAATTCAAAGAGGCATTTGTGGAGTAAGATGAAGGCCATATGGTTGGGTAAACATGTTTCCTGAAAGCTACCCAATCCCCATTATGGTTCCTAATGAGAGCACCAGATGTCACCAACCGAAGAACCATCATAATCAAGTTTAAAAACACCTTCCCCTCTGGATTCCAGTTGATTTGAATACAAACTGGAAGCTCCTTACGCTCATACTTGAAAGAAACAGCATAAAAACTCATTCATTATGCTTATACTTGAAAGAAAATCATTTACAGTAGCGGGTCTGCTTTTAATGTAGGTAGGTAGGATTAAAAGTGTCATCACTTACCGTTGAGCTTCCGGTATTCCAAGTCTGCCCTGGCCGTCCCTAAAAAGCATCGAACAAATAGCCGAAGGACATAATGGGGATACCGAATATGCTAAGTAAAATACTGAGTCGTTTGATTAATTCCTCGTGCTAAGCACAGATTACATAGAGTCCGTTTGAATTCTCAGCTGAGAAACAGTTGGAGGGAAAGTAAGCAGCTGCAAAGAAAATATGGGTTCGGTCGCAAAGAAGGGATTGCAGAAATACTTGTTACAGCTTCAACATCACCCTCTGAGAACCAAGGTTTCTTCTTCTTCTTTTTAGGATTTGTGGGTCAAAAAGAAATTTTGAAATTGACAAAACTGAGTGAAAATTGGTGCAGGCAATTACGGCAGCGGTTTTGTCAGGGATTAGTGACACTGTTTCTCAGAAGCTTTCTGGAATACCCAAACTTCAGCTGAGACGGATTCTTCTCAAAATGGTAAATGATCCTCTCTTTGTTTCATTTCTCCTTCTTTTGTGTCCGAGATTTAACCAATGGAGCTGATGGGTACGAGCCAAGTTGATTTTACTCTTGCCATGCTAGGAACGTTTAGTTAAAGGGAAAGGTGGTTATGTTAAGACTTGAGAGATGTTTTAGGAAATCTGGGTGCAATTGGGAATTTTATTTATGTAGCACCAAAGAGTTGGTAATGAGAAGAAGGGTTGACTTTGTGATGTTATGAATTCATCTGAAGGGAAAAATATGTATTTGCCATCGACCAACTCCGTGATAGCCATCTGCAGCTCTTTGGATTTGCTTGTCTAGGGCCATTTGGACATTACATGTTCATGTTTCTGGATAAAATTTTCAAGGGGAAGAGGGACTCCAAAACTGTTACCAAGAAGGTATGTTACACACTCAAACTATTTATCGTGTTATCCAATAAAACCGACCTTCAAATTCTATTGATTAGAATTAGGGATCACATCGATTATCGAAGTCATCCTATCAAACTTGATTCTTCTCAATAGGATCTGTAGGAAAAGCGTTTAATGCTGAATAAAACTATATCAGGTGGTGCTGGAACAATTGACAAGTTCTTGCAACAACTTGCTCTTCATGATATACTATGTGGTGGTGGTTGAGGGTAAGCGGTGTTAGTTTATGTACTTATTCTCAGCAAGCAAAGAGACCGAATCCAAATATTTCTTGAAAATAACTTAAGTTGATAGTTCAAAATTCATGTTTCTTCTTCTTCTTTTTAGGATTTGTGGGTCAAAAAATAATTTATTTATAATAGTTTTAGTATTTTTAATTGATTATTCATTTTTTTAATAATTTAATTTTTATTTTTAGTATTTTTTATATTTATTTTTTAATATTGGAATAATTTTATATTCAAAATTAAAATAACTTTTATTTTTTTAAAATATAAGTCCTTGAAATTTTAAAAAATAAATTCTCGAATAAAATCAAAAAATCAATATAGCCTATCTATAATGACACATCATCAACCACTGTAGATCACCACATCAACACTATAGACCGTCACGTCAATACTGTAACAGTCAACGACAAAAAAATTGGTTAAAGGATCATATTATGTTTGTTTTCTGAATTGAAAGATCACATTGAGAGAAAAATAATATGAGTATAATATTATTATTATTTGGCTTAATACCAAAATAAGTGCTCAAACTATAATTCTTTTCCCATATAGGTACCTAAACTATTTTTTGACTCATCTCAGTGCCTAAACTATTTTTTTAACTCATCCCGGCACCTAATTTTATAAACGTTACCCATTTAGGTGCTCGGGTGTTCAACAGTGTTACTTCATCCCTTAAGTGGCATGTGTCACAACTGGGTAATTTTAAAAATTTTATTTAAAATTAAAAGTATATATATAAATTTTTAAAAAGAAAACACAAAAGTTTAAATAAATCCAAAACTTTGAAAACCTTCATTTCAACCCCTAAACCCACTCCAACCCTGCCTTTTACCGTTGGCGAAACTCCACCCGACCTCTCCTCCCCCGACGACCAAAATCCCCATGAAATCGTGACCGATCAACGACGAACCGTGAAACCTACGATGAAAATCACGATCTCATGCGATTCCGGTGGCCAATCGACAGAAACCACAATGAAGTATGAGTAGGAGGATGGCAGAGACTACGTCGGTGGCGGTGGTTGAAAGGGCGGTGATTACGGATTAAGGTTAGGATTTGGGATTTTTGGGAGTTTTGGGACTGTTTTATAATATAAAAAAGTTAGTTTTTTTTATAAATTTCATAATATTTTTAATATTTAAAAAAAATAAATTTCAAAATACTCAATTATGACACATGTCACTTAACAGGAAATTAACGGTGTTGACAGCCTAAACACTTAAATAGATAACGTTTGTAATGTTAAGCACCTAGATGAATAAAAAATAATTTAAACCTATTTAAGAAAAACAATATAATTTGTTCACTTGTTTTAGTATTAAGTCTTTATCTTTTTAAAGTACATGGGCTTCTGATTAATTTTCATTAGCTTTGTAGTCACCGTCCTTTACATTAAAAAGGCAAACTCTCATCTCCACTAAATTGTTAATTTCTTTACTGAATAAAACCCAACGAGGGTGGAAGTTGTAATCCATCTCTATATATAAAAAAAATCTAGAGAGAAAGTGAAGGGTTCGTGATTCTTCTGCTTCTTTGCTGTTGTAGAAAGCTTATTTTCTTTTCAAAGCAAGATTTTCTGCAATAGCGACTAAGTTTTCATATGAATGTCTGAAGTTAAAAAGGGTTTAAGAGAGAAATATAGAGGGGGTTTCGTGGTTCTTTTTCTTCCACAATAAATGTGGCTTGTTGCACCTGCAAATGGTTCTTTCTCACGCCAAAGTTTAGCATATGTACGCACTGGAACTCAATTTATGAAACAAGTATATGGCTTGGCTTTGAATTACTCTTCGTTAGTATGTTAAAACAGTTATGTGCAGTTGTGAATTGTGGAAGATGAAATAGAAGATGAAAATAATTCTTTTTGAAAGATTGTATGAGTGCTGCCATAAAAATTAAAAGACTTGTAAAAGAAAGAATCACCGGTAGAACACAGAAGGGGCAGACTGCAATTGAAAATCAGATTCATTAAAAAGACTGCAAATCAATAACAGGTGGATTAAAAGAATGTTTTTCATTAGAGTAATTTAAATTGATACAGGAGACGAAAATCATACATTCACATGCTGCAAATGAACTTAATTTATACCTACTCTCAACGCTCTCGCTGTTAGTGGTTAAGCTATTTTGCCCACTAATCTTTGGGAGATAGCAATCAACCACTATTTCATAATCCTCGCTCATCCTACTCATGTATCCTCTATTACTACTTGTAGATTCATCGACATGTAAAAGGTTATGGTCCTGTCTGGTAGGTAACATTTCTACTTCCAAATTGCCATTGCTTCTCACTGTCACCCAATTTTCATCGTATTCCCAGTTGGGAAATTTTAAAGGCAAAACAAGATTGTCTTCACCCAATTGTCGGATCCTTTCCATTAAAGACTCGTTGGAAGGAATCTGAAGTGTCTCCAAGTCTTCCATGGAGTCCCACAAGTGTGGGTGCAGTACGTTGTTGGGTGTCTCCAATTTAGAACCGCCAGTTTCCTTCTCGGGAAACATCGACTCCTTCACGAAATCGTGTGAAAGAAGTTGCGTTGCCGACCATCTCTCGGCCGGATCTCTCCTCAAACACTTGCTTAAGAAATCCCTTGCCTGCTCCGATGTATTGGATGGTATTTCTGGCACATCATTTGAGAACCCGATTCTGTACAGTGCAGAAACAGGATCGGGAACATCAGGCCACGGTGCTCGTCCCGTAGCCATCTCGATGACCGTGCATCCAAGTGCCCACACGTCAGCTGAGAATCCTTGTTGCTCGCCACGCGCCACCTCTGGCGCCATATAAACAGGGGTACCCGCAACCGACCAAGCGGTAGTCGATGCCCCATCAGCTCGCCTAGCGCAACCCAGGTCGGTGATTTTCACCCCATCATCGGTGACCAGTATATTCTGGCCCTTGATGTCACAATGCACTATTCCTCGAGAGTGCAGGAATTCAAGGCCGAGTAAAATCCCATGAGTGTACGATCGGACTATACCCTCCTCAAGGCAACGACCGTGCTTGTGAACTGCATCAGTGACGGTGCCGCTGGGGGCATATTCCAGGAAAAGATTGTATAGAAGCTTACCATTCTCCGCTGAAATGTCACACCCTTTGTATGCTACAACTTGAGGGCAGCTTAACGTAGACAAAATGCTCTGTTCCTTTCTAAGAGATTCCGACTGCCAGAGCTCAGAGGACTTAATAGCAAATATATCACCGGACTGGTCAGCGGTGGCAATAGAAACGGTGGCAGTGGAGCCGCGACCAATTGTTCTGCCACGGGTCCAATCCATTAGGAATATGAAAATTGAAAGTTCAGCCGGAGAATTTGGATGGTTTGGTGAGTTGTGGGTACTAAGCATTTATAAGCAAAATTTGGAGGCTTTAGTTTGGTAAAGGTTCGCTCCAACACAAAGAATGAATGCCTTGTGAAGAATCCGAACAACACATTTTGTTTTGTGGACAATGGGCGGCCGCCTTTCTCTCCATCTAGGAACCAGGGAGTTCCACGTGGCAAAAGGAGGTTGGATTAAAAGCTTGTGCGGCGGGTTGTTTGCTTGCTTAGCTTAGCCATGAATCATACTGTTGTCGTATGCTCACATGAGCCGCATGCTTAGAGTGCGGTGCTAGCTGCCTAGTTGGCACAATGAGGTCCTTTGGTAATGGTATATTCCTAGCTTTGATTACATTTCAACAGTAAAAACGAAAGACTAAGAAGCAAAATCCTATTATTATTGTTATTAATATAATATATCAATGGTTCATGAACTAGTTCAAGTTATCCGTTGAATATTAAATTTAGGGTTTGGATTCTTCAAAACAAAGTTAAATGTCTTGCGTTCATGAACTAAATCATGATGCAATTCGTCCTTCGCTTGCAGTTCTATTTTACTCATTACCATGTGAAAGTGTGCAAAGTACATTGTTTTTTTTAATGTTTGAATTAGCTCATGCAATGGCTAACTTGTCAGAAACATAACCAACAATCTGATGATGGGGTATCTGATTCTTGCAACCTAAATAATTAGATATGGTTGGTTACGTTGCTTGAAATATTGTAGGTGCAAGGCATGGGGGAAAAGCAAAAAGGGTTGGTGCAGTTGGAATTTAATTGAGAGAGATAGAGAGAGAGAGAGAGGCAGCAACCTAATATAACCCAACCGACCAGATTTCCCCAAACCAACTTTCATCGTCTCTTCACAATCACAAACGCGAGACCATGTCATAAGATAAGTTGGTTGGTTATGCTCTTTTATTGTAATTTGGTTTGGAGATTTGTGGCATCTTCTAAATGGCCTACTTTTCACGTAAAATCCAATCGGAGCGTTGCTTTTCTCCACGTGACACCCACCATTTATATTCCTTTGGGCTAATTGGTTGATTCAGATTTCGGTCTGGGATTTGTCACTTTTTCTTTTCCTTTGCCTACGTATGTTGCATGCTTAATTGATTGTGTTGTGGCAATCATTCTTACGAATTCCCTTGTTTTTTTCTTTGGCGCATACGTGTTCCTTAAGGGTTCAAAGAAAGCGAGTTTAAAGCAAGTAAATGCTAGTTTCTAACACCGGGGCTGGCGGAACAGAGCATGGACGAGAGTATTTAAAACATAACATGATTTTATGTTGTAAAAACACAATAGTGGACGATGGACATATCAAGAACTGAGGTCCCACATGGTAGATTCCAAAATAGAAATGGCAGCTCAGTGTGGAGTTGGAGTTGAACAAGAACGCATGCATACATTAATGTAATTGTTTGGTGTTTTAATTGGGTAGTTGAAACTGGAGGTTAAAAACCAAGCACAAAATAAATGATATTTAGAGTTCCATCAGATGAAAGCATCTGCACTTTTTGCATTTCAGTAGTTAGGGCTGATATTTAATCTGGTAAGCTAGAGTATTGACGTTGTGATCAAATTGCGATTGCTGAATTTGTCATGGTTATGGTCGTGGTATCGTGGTTGCGGATACTGTGGACATTACGTAACGCAACGCGGCTATCGCATGC